ATTCCTTTCCTTCATAACACTATTAAAGTTATTCTCATCCTAAATTATGATAACCTACATGCATTATCTTGCATTTATTATAATTAAAACCCATTTGTCATTTATTTGCCCAATTCACTAAATCATCTCAATCCTTTTGTAAATCAGCAGCATCCTCTTCACAGCTAACAACACCCAAGACCTTAATATCAATTGCAAATTTAAGTAAATTGGTTTACATTATAAATCCACTTCGAAGAACCTTGATACATAAAAAAAACTTTACCCTTGAATAAAATACAAAGTGTTTTATGTGTAAGTATACTTCATATGTTTCATATTTATATGATACACAATTAAACTTTGATATTGTTACGACAGTGGAAGTCACGTGATGAGATTCTCGAAGGATCATGACTTTTACTGGTAACTAGTTTGTTCCAGGCGCCCTCTTTTTTTTAGTATATAAGCCTGGCAAATAAAGCGGAGAGATAATGGCAGATAGATAGATAGAAAGATTGAAGATAGAGATAATCGAGTCAAGCTGTAAGTAAAGTGTGTGAATCACTGTGATTTATAGCATGTGTTCATAAAAGTAGTCAAGTTTATTAAAGTGAATGTGGAAATTCTGTGAATTATAAAGTTGTATCGAGAAAGAATAAACTAGTTTTAATTAAGAAAGGACTTGTATCGCTGAAGTTCCTTGAAAGGAATTTATACCAGAAATTAACAAGCGAGCAGATGCGCAACAATATTATAAATTCTTTAGTTATAATACAATATTCATTCAAACATTGATTTGCATATTTAGAGAAAATAATTTTCTGAGATAGTTATTCTCTTGGGATGTAGTTGCAAATCTCGTCCTTTAAACTAAAAGAAAACTGTCCTAAATGGATATAGCTGAAAAATTGTCCTCTAAGGAATAGTTCAAAACTGTCTATATAAATATAACTACAAGAAAAAAACTTGTTCTCTACATATATAGCTAACAAAACTGGTCCTCTCACATATGGCTGAGAAACTTGTCTTCAAGATATAGATGAGAATCCTGCTCTATAAGAACACAACTGAAAAATCTTCCTCTGAAGATACAGCTTAGAAACCTGTCCTCTGAAGATACAGCTTAGAAACCTGTCCTCTGAAGATACAGCTTAGAAACCTGTCCTCTGAAGATACAGCTTAGAAACCTGTCCTCTGAAGATACAACTTAGAAACCTGTCCTCTGAAGATACAACTTAGAAACCTGTCCTCTGAAGATACAACTTAGAAACCTGTCCTCTGAAGATACAACTTAGAAACCTGTCCTCTGAAGATACAACTTAGAAACCTGTCCTCTGAAGATACAACTTAGAAACCTGTCCTCTGAAGATACAACTTAGAAACCTGTCCTCTGAAGATACAACTTAGAAACCTGTCCTCTAACGATATAACTTAGAAACCTGTCCTCTAACGATATAACTTAGAAACCTGCATTCATGGATATAGTTAAGAAACCTGTCATCATAGGGTACAGCTGATTAATTTGTACACTAGGAATGAAGTTTAAAGAAACTTGTGCTTTAGAATTATGGATGAAACATTTGTCTTCCAAGGATACAAATCATTTCCTTAATTTAACCTACAAAAATTCCTATTTACTCATGGTTGAGAAACGTGTTCACTGTGGATAGGGTTGAGAGAAACTTGTCCTCTAAAGTCTTAATTTATTCTCAAGTATAGCCTTCATTTATTCAATGTTTAAAGTATTCTTAAAACTGAAATATGGCAACAAAATTCAAACACATAAACCTCTCAGCTCATACGTCTGGGAAAAGAGAACAAAGCAAAATAACCAATATATGAAGGCTTAAATAAGCAAGTTATTTAGAAAGAATGTGTTATTGCCTCATAACAGGTAGCAAATGTCAAAATGCATTAACATTTAACTTTGTTATTTATGTGAAATGCTTTGATAAAACTGTGTAATGGAATGTTCTGAAATTAAAAATTTCTTGTACAATTTAAAACTTTCAAAACTACTCAAAAATATCTTCCAGAAATTCTGAATGGTAATAAATTTATGTCATATTTAAATGTTTGTAAAAAGATTTACTTACATAAAATAATTTTTTCTTTATAAAATACTATCCATTGTCCTTTGTAATGACTTCTACAAAGCTTCAATATGATACATCCTATGTGAGCTATAGCACTATGTGTAACTGAACACCTGTCTATTTGATTCACAGTGAATTCATGACCAATCAACAATGCAATTCCACCACAAATAAAACCTATGGCTGGAAGTTTGTGTCATAGCTCTTTCTGAGAAAGGATGTTCATATAATGAGATGATGTAGTGAAGGACAACATTTTAAACAATGGTTCCACAGAAATAGAGGGGGGGGGATCACATAGTGGGGTATTTAAATAGAGTATTGGGTTCTAAAACCATAGCACAAATAAGTTTCAAAAGTGCTCTCACTGCAAAGTCTAGACTATGGTTACAAATAAGATCCCCCACCCCAAACCAAAAATGCCACTGTTATGAGACAAATCATATCTTTTTGTACCATTAACAATAAGAATTTAAAGTTGATGAAAATTCAGATGGAAGATAGCCAAAAAACTTGAAATCACAGCAATTCCACTAAATCAAATATTGTTTCTCAACTTAGCTTCCATGAACTTTTTTGCTTTCGGTCTATACAAAACCATACTTGGAACCTGAGGTTCACATGCAGTAAAGGGTCTGTGAAAACTTTGTCAAGAAGTTTGCCATCCTTCACAGAAGCTTATTAGAATGGAAATTGCAGAGTTGGAGAATAGCATATATTCTTGGCTGTCATACAAGCACAATGAATGATTAAGAAAAAAACAATGAATACAGAAAATATAAAGAAATATTACACTTTTTTTTTAGTAATCTAAATTGATATTGTAACAATAGACTTATGCCTTGAATAGAAAAAAAAGTATCAAAAATATCAATATAAATTGATAGATCTGTTATTTTACATCCCACTGGAATTTAACAGAGAGAATACAGTATTACATGAATGTACTTTTTTTTTATCTTAAGTTCTCATTTCACATATGTGTCTTGGCATACATACCTCTGATACAGAAAACTGAGAACTGTAGCTACTAGCTGATACCTGAACCTTTGTTACATGCATAATCAACATAGAAAACTAACACCTAACCCTTTCAGCCTTTGTCTTTACATTACTAACACAGCAAGAGACATGTATCTTTATTATACATATCCCACCACAGGATGAAGAAACTTGAACCTTTGAGCCAGATGTACATTAAAGTAAATACAATGTTGTCCTAATTACAGGAGGGAAAGAGAAGGGGCATTGCAATGTGTATGAAATATAACTTATACTTGAAACAGTTTTTACAGAGAAATATTAAAACATTCCTACTTACAATTACCCTTAGTATACAATATTATTTTTATCCTCTTAATATTTTTATTAATTTATGCTGAAAATTTTAAAAACAGAGTATTACACTGGATATTTGAATAAATTTATTTTATTCTTGATTCTACACTTATAAGAACTTGTACATCTTACAGCTACATGATATTTTAAATTTAACCAAGGAAAGGTCCCTACAGAC